GCAGTGATTGGAGTTTATATAGACTCAAACTCAAAAAGATAATTCTACACACAGGGGTGAGTTACTGTGGAATTTAATGTGTTTTCTCCCTCCAAAGTGTTTTCTTTTTAAAAAAAACTTTAAAAGGTCAGCCAATATTAAAACAAACAATTGCCTGATATGCATCCAACTGAAAATTAAACATTTGTGAATCGGCTTCAAAGAAACAGCACTTGTAAGGTTGGAAACTATGCCAAATGTCTGCATAGTAAGTTAGGTTTATTGAAAATAAAATGAGCAGTGTCAGTCAATGAGTCACTTCACCATGTGTGTAACGTTGCCGCCAGACTTACTTGTTGGAAGAGTCCAATGTAAAGTGTGTTTGCAAGTATTTGCTCACTGGCAGGGCGAAAACGCGAGGTATTGTACAAGATAGACCCAGGGCAAGGCGGACAGATAAAGAGAAAGCCATTATCTACACATTGGATAGGCAGATTAAACAAGGAAATAGTTAGGATGTGTTATTTACAAGTCACACAAGTTCCTGTAAATATATACAATGGGGCGATTGGGAGATAAGATATTGGTAAAACTGATCATTTCGATGGCTTTAACATTGAAAAAGTTTTATTTTTTTAAATTTAAATCAGTGTCCATCGGTGGGTTGCACCAAACCACATCGTGCTATTCGAGTGTTTATCAAACAATTCAAAGTATAGGTTTTATACCTATGTCTGTTTAACTAAATTTCAAATTCCAGACCAGAATTATGTTAAAAGGACTACATAGTGTAAAACGAACTTTGCCCTTCAATGCACGGATGGTTGGGTGAATCATCCAATTGGGTAGAAATGATAATAAAACAATGTTACAGAAATAATGGGTGAAACACAGCAAGGAAGCTAACTGCATTGGCTGGTTGGTCGTGCTTTGTGATGCCCAACTGACATATAAAATTGATGAAATCCGTTTGAAAACGTTTCTGACCACGATGAGGAGACCTTTGGTGATTTGTTGAAGTTAACAAAACCGGGCGTCGAGAGCGCGGTTTACATGAGCAAGACATGCATATTAAAGCCAACAATGCTTCCAAATGTAAATAAGCCGAGATTGATTACGAACAACATTATGGTTTCGGGATGGAACACTCGCATGCATTAGCAATGAGGCAAATTGGGGGCATCCATAGATGACCACCCAAGTAGAGACCTGGAGCTCACACTTTTTCTCCAGCCATACAGAAGCCAGGGTAATTGTATGCCAAATGTACTCCATTCCCCGGTGCTGTTAATGCAGCTAATCTATGGGAAAATTGGTCTAAAACGCACTTATCCCACCTTTTTAAACGATCATCCATCCATATAATAGGCTGCGAAGAACGCAGTGATATTGGCTCCTGGAGGTTTTATTATCGATGGTTCCCGAATGCTCACAACTGTTCTGTTTTTATCACTGATCAAATGCTCTACACATCACAGACATGCAGAAAAAACAGTCTTTACATCTGCCAATGGTGAGTGAAGGAGTGGGGGGTTGATCCTTGTGACTGTTAGATAAAAGCTACCAGCCAGTGTTTGTACAGGTATTGCTAAGTGTCTTTAAAATCTCTTAACTTCTTAGGACCCAATGCTCAATTTCGGTTCAATCTCCCACTTTCAGAGTCAACTAATCATAGATATCGCTGATGAATCCTTTTAAATCTCTCAAAGGGGGGCAGTGGATTCATTATATGAAATGAAATGAACTGCAAAACAAATCTTGGCAGTTTGGATAAAGACTTATTTTAAATTCACGCGTATATAAACCGTTCTCTTAAATAATTCTTGCATTTTAAGTCAGGAGGACGTCTCAGCGCCTACCTTTGATTGTGTAAAATTAAAATTAATTATGTTTAGCTTTGCTTTGATTCCACTGTCTTGAAATTGGGGGCTGCTTTCTTTGTCCAAATTGCATCTGTTATGCATGATTTTTTAATGATGAATATTATCAAGGCAAAATGAAATTTGAAGTTAGCATAAAGTTGAATCTATGGTCACATCTAGAAAAACACTGTCATAATAAATGCTGATTCGTAGAATGAGCTTGTTTTAAATCAATACATTCATTTTCTGAGTGTCTTATTTCATTGCAATACCGATTGTTGTCTCTAAGGGGCGAAGTATAAAAGGTACAATATGGGTGGGAATGGGTACAACCATATGATGTATTAATTACTAGTGTGATAAACGATACCTTGTCACATTATTGTTTAGGCTAGAAGGGTGGATATTGATAATATTTAAATTGTATCTGATTATTTGGGAGCAATATTACTTTCACAAAATAATTAGGAACATTAATGCCCACCCAAGATATAAACCACTGTTATCAAATAGCCATAAGGTGAATGAAACTACTGCCAATATAAACTGAAATAAACATTTTGCACTTATCACAATTGTGCTTATTAAATGGTCATTTGTAAAGTCAGTCATCTCCTTTAACTCAAATCGTATAAGAGAGCGAATGAATCTTGTCATTTGATTAAATAAAATGATTGCTTGAAATGTAAAATTGAACCTGATTTGAAGTAAAACGCGAAATATATTTTATTCATTGTGTTACATAGATTAAATAATGTGCCAAATACCTTTAATACGTGAACTATGGTAAAGTTATTGTAATCGCTTTCTGTATTAATCATATCTATTAATTGTGTCATCATGTGCAGTGTTATTCCAATGTAACGTCTGTTTCCGTCTGATTTTATGTTAAAAGTTTAAATACCAAATAAACAAATTCTACACTACCTGATTCAATGTTTGTCAACAATATTTCACGTAGTAACTACCGTGTGTTTATTGCTTCCCACGTTGAGTACAGTTATTGTGATTTAAAAAATACAATAATAATCCTTGCATTTAATAAAGCGCATTTCAGGTCGAGAGGACGTCTCGAAGCGCTTCGCAGGAAATACTGCGAGGTGTAGTGACTGTGTATTTTGGAATGTCACATCGCAGAATCACACCGTCCAAAACAGATCTGACAACCCGGGGTCCCAGAGAGCTGCTGCACTAACTCTCGGTGTACTTGGAAGAGAGACTGAAGACAATCGCCTCGATTCCCAAACTGAAGTGGGAGAACGGGTCTGCGAACTGCGGCCAATGGGAACTGCCAAATGGTATTGGATAACGGGAGGAAGGATAGATCCGGTTAGGAATGCAGTGCAGACTGACTGCTCTCGGGGCTGCTCTCGCATTCTTTACGCACCAGCGCACACTAAGGTGAAATGCAACTTAGCAGTGCTCCTCCAGTGCTCACTCTCTCTCTGCATCTCTCTCTCTCTCTCTCTCTCTCTCTCTCTATCTCCTCCCCCCACCCCCCACCCCGCCTCCCTCCCTCCATTTACCCTTCCAGAAATTAAGAGAAGTTTGATAATTAGCCATGCAAATCACATTGATCCTGATGCGGTTTGACAGGACCACTGAGGGTTTTGTTTAGTCCCTTTCGCTACTACTGTAATTCAGCCATTCTCACTTTGTTGCAGCGCGTCGCCCCTGGGTACGCCGGTCACATGGTCCGCAGTGAAAATACCCCATCTCAATGAATCAGATGGAAATGTGTGTGTGTGGGGTGTGTGTGTGTGTGGGGGGGGGGGGGGTGTGGGTGGGTGGGGGGGTGTGGGGGGGGGGGGGGAGAGAGAGAGAGAAAAAAAAACTTTTTAACGCTTTAAAACAACATCAACTTTTTTTAAGTCATTTCTTTACAAAATCCCTGGTTGGGGGGTGAGGGCTGGGGGTGGGGGGGGGGGGGGGGTGTGGGGGTGAGGGCTGGGGGGTGTGGGGGGGAACTGAGTTTCAACCAATTTCCCACGGATTGATTTCTCTGCTGCTGGAAGACTTTAGATACATTCTTCACTTTTTTTTTGGTACGAGTTAGAAAGTTTATTTTTTTTTGGAGAGGGGCTGGGGGTGGGGGGGGGGGGTATGAATTAGAAGAAGAATTTTTTTTACTGTATGGATAGATATGGATATGGGGGGGAAAAAAAAGTTTGGGGGTCGAGGCACACGCACACACACACACACACACAACACACACAGAGAAATCTGGCACATACTCCTGCACGATCCAGGACTGTCATTATTTGTGCAAGCCCTGGTAATTCATCTGAGACCTCCCAGCATTTGTTACTAACTTGAGGCCAAAGCAACCTCGAAAGGATTTTTTTTTCATTTAAAACCAGAGCAAGTGCCTTTTTTTTCCTCCAATAATTAAATTAAAAAAAAAAGTTCAGCCTGTTCCCCAGATCCCCCTGTTCAAACGTTTTGCAACAACAACCCAAACAAGAAAAAAAACCCTGATTTTAATTTATATAGAGATAGATATACACACACATACACATAGAAACACATAAATAAAAGAAAGAGGGAGGGAGGAAAAGAAACAAGAAACCGAGGATCGTATCTTATTTTTATTTTTTTTTGGGGGGGGGGGGAAACCCCTGTTGTTTTACCAAGTGCGTGCAAAAGAGAGAGAAAAAGAGAGAGCTGCAGTGGAGGGATGTGATTTCTTTAAGGCGAACCGCAGCTCCCCTGTTGTGGGGATGGATGCACTCACAGCCTGGGTGGTCTCTCTACTTTGGTGAGCTGTTGCTAAGCAGCTAATAATAGTCGTGTTTGCTGAGTAATTTCTGCCTTCCTCGGCCAATGAGATCCCAGCAATACAAGCCTTCTCCCAGCCATCTGACGGCCCTGGAGGCGGGTTTTGGCTTTCCTTCCAACCCCCCCCCCCCCCCCCCCCACACCACCCCACCCCCCCCCCTCCCCTTTCCCAATGGAGAGAGAGAGAGAGAGTTTTTTTTCCCCCTATTGAATCAAAGCAACACAGAGTCGGAGGGCCCTGTTGCACACAGAATGGTTCAAGCGAGCGGTGCGGGTAAAGCTCACAGAGCCTCTGTGAGAAGGTGAAAGGCTCGCAAGTCTCTCTCCCTCTCTCTCTCTCTCTCCCTCTCGGTCTCCCTCGATCTCTCTCTTTCCCTCTCTCCCTCTCTCTCTCTCTCTCTCTTTAAAAAAAGCGACACAGTTCTCCTGTGAATGTAGGAAGATCGCCGGGATTTTCCCAGATCGCGAAATGTGGGAATGGAAGGCGCAAACTTTGACTCGCCATCGCTACGAGGAGTATGAAGTTTGCCGCACCGCGTCTGCTGTGTTGAGGATTAAAGTGCCCGCCTGGTGGAACCTCAGACGGTGTGTGATTACACTGCCACAGTCCCATCAACAACATGGCCTCGGCTGTTAACGTTACGGAGCGCCGAAGGACAGAGGAGGACCATGTTCAGCAAAACAGGAGGAGGATAAGAAGAAACCAGCCGCATCATACAGCGGGTTTAGATTATCTGGAACGGCCGAGCTATTGCGATGCTGCCTTTGCGCTGGAGCAGATCTCAAAGGTGCATTTCCCAGTTTGCAAAAGCGAGCGCTGGTTTTTGTGCGTGAAGTGTGCGTGTTGTGTGTGTATATGTGTGTGTGTGTGCGTGTGTGTGTGTGTGTGTCTGCATCTGCATCGGTGGCGGTGCTGGTGGTGGTCCGTGTGTGTGCGTGTGTGTGTGCGTGTGTGTTAGGAAGAGGGGGTGTATTCTGTTTCCCTTCTGTTCTGCAAGCGGTATAGAGAGAAAGAGTGTGTGTGGGGGGGGGGGGGGGGGTCAAGGCTAGATCTCGGGTTGCTTCTGAGCTATGTTATCACTGGATGGCTTTTTGCAAAGAAAAGTGTAAGTTTTAATCATGCGGAAACAAAGCTCGGGATCGCTCTCTCTGTCGCCACTTCAATTGCAGAGCGGCGTGGAGCCTGGACACACTGGGATGTGTGTGTGTGTGGGTGGGGGTGGGGGGGGGATTCTTTTTTTAACACGCCATTTTTTGCATATAAATACTTTTAAGCGGATAAGACCCCACGTTGTCCTGGTTTAGTGTGTGTGTGTGGTGTGTGGGAGGGAGGGAGGGAGGGAGGAGAGGTGGGGGTGGATGGTGAAGAGGAGAATCTCCCTCCTTCCTCCTTTCCTCCCCCTTACCCCCCCCCCCCCCCCCACACCCCCACCCACCCCACATCATCCACAACCCCCCCCCCCCCCCCCAGCGGCTGCTGCCTATGTTTAACTCGCAAAGTAAACAAAAAGTGAAACATTCTTCAAGCGATCGTATCTGTTCAGGGAGTAAGGTTTGGTTTATAAGCTGAAATCCATGTGGCTGCCCTCTTCCGTTCACAAATATTGTCGTAACTCTCGGATGGCTGCTGCACTTCCTAATGCAGATCCCAGCGTCCCGATACTGCTATGGAAATGAATTACTCCAGCTTATGATCTTACAGCACAGAGACCACGTGGATCCACTATTTGCTACTACTGTATGTGTCCCATTAGATGTTCGCTGCTCCTATTAAACCCGGGTTGGTGCACTGCAAACGATACTCGTGGAAAAACCCTGACAACGCTAATCATACTTTGCATTTCGACTTATTTCTTTTTAACACACACACACACTTACACCCACCCACACTTTGATTTTTCACCGCGATTGTACCTTTTTGTTGCACAGGTCTGTCCTACCCCCCGCCCCCCCCCCAAAAAAAAAACACTTTTTTTTAAAATTAAAACATAAAAGATCCAAAAAAAAACTCAAGTTCTTCGAGCAACTTATGTGTCTGGAGTGTCTCCTCCATCTGCTCTCGCCAAAGCGTGGGTGGCGATTGAGACTATGTGTTTGGGGGGAGAGGGAGTGGGGTGGGGGTGGGGGGGGGGGAGAGGTGATGTGACAGTCGCTGGAGAGACTAACCCGACTACTTTTAATAGGATGCAATAAAGTCTGCAGGAATCTGGAAGGAAAACATTCTTGTGCAGGTCTGCCTGAAGTTTTTTTTCAAAACAAAACACAGGGATGTAAATAGATCTGATTTTCTTTTGCTAACGGGAAACATTAGTATTGTAACGTGAGCTCATCAATCAGAGGGGGGACACTGTGCTGCGCCTCTCTTGAAGGTTTTAGTGATTGTTTTTTTTTTCCCCAATCAGTGCTTTCACTTGGCTCAACTCTTTTCTTTTCTTGTGCTTTTTTTTTTGTGTGTGTGTGTGTTGTGTGTTGTGTTGTGTTGTGCTGTGCTGTGTGTGTCGTGTGTGTGTGTCTATAGGGAAAGGCGACTGGAAGGAAAGCACCGTTGTGGCTTCGAGCTAAGTTTCAGAAACTATTATTTAAACTGGGCTGTTACATTCAAAGGAACTGTGGCAAGTTCTTCGTCGTGGGCCTCCTCATATTCGGGGCTTTCGCAGTGGGATTAAGGGCTGCTGACCTGGAAACCGATGTGGAGGAGCTGTGGGTTGAAGGTAAGCTGTTTGTTCTGTTCCTCTGCTCGATTTTAGTCAGTCACCTTTTAAAACAAAGAGCATAAAACTGGGCTATATTGGGAGAGGGAGAGGGGGAGGGAGGGAGGGAGGGAGGGAGAAAAAGAGATAGAAAGGAGCATACCAGAAAGGGGATTGTTTATTGTATAGCTTGCTTGGCTAAAAGCCAGAGAGAGAGAGAGAGAGAGAGAGTTACAAAGAACTTGCTGTGACCCATTATGATGGAAGAATTTCTTACATTGGTGTAAACTTGGCAGAAACCTGGTGTGTGTGTGTGTGTGTGTGTGTGTGAGAGAGAGAGAGAGAGAGAGAGAGGGGCAGTGCTGGTGATACTGTGGTGAGGATGTTTTGTGAGGAGGAGGAGGAGGAGGAAGAGGGAGGGGGTTAAACTTTAGGGGGGGGGGGAAACACAAACAAATGTTATATATATATATATATGTTTTAAAAAAGTCCAGCTTGTCAAAGCGGCCATTTTGTGAGTGCCCCCAGCAGTAGAATTTGATCAGTGCAGCTCTCTGTGAGGGAGGGAGGGAGGGAGAGGGAGAGGGAGGGGAGGGGAGGAGGCTGCCTGTGTGTGTGTGTGTGTGTGTGTGTGGTCCTGTTTTTGGACAGCTTTCAACTTTTCAAAAAAAAACATTTGTCTCAGGGAAAAAAAAAGTGAAGTCCTACAGACTGGAACGCATGTTTGCAAACTAGATTAATGTAACCTTAGCGGGTGGTGACGTATGTTTAATGTAATGTTATTGCACTTGGGATATTGCATTAAAAAAAAGAAATAGTTTGGTGCAAACTTGTGGGCTCTTTTTTTTTTTGCTTTTTCTCCCCATGGCCTGTGGGAGGAAACTTAAGTTCAATTAAGAAAGATTTTGTGGGGCTTTGATCTACATTCCAGTGGTTTAAAAACAATGGGACAGAAATGGGGAATTGTTAATTGATGCATAGGCTGTTCACTATCCCCCAAACACGTTTTAGTCCTGAAAGTGAACAGTTTTATTGTTTTGGGAAGAGGGGAAATAAAACAACAGTTTTTGTGCGTTCCGTATGCTGTCAAATACTTGCTGCATATTAAAATTTCCTTTCCATTTAAAAGTTTGCAAATGATTCTTATCAATACAGTGTGCAATGGCAGGAAAACGCCTTAAAGGTTTGAAGTGTATCCGTACATGGTTACTCGTTGCAAATCTAACTTTTTATTCTGATTCACTGTCATGTTGGTAAGATTTCGCAAACGTTTCACATTTGTTGGGTGCTTATTTGTTTAGCACAAAAAAAGTGTATAGACACATGCTACATGATTGAGCGCATCTTACATTTATCTATCTTCAGTTTGCTATTTGTCCTTTGCTGCAAAAATGTTCACCTACATTTGCTTCATATATTTGCCTTTGTTCCCTACCTAACTCCCCCCCCACCAATGGCTAAGAGCAGCAGGAGTTTTATGTAGCTGTGTGTGTTCTCAGTGGAGTGTGTAACGCTCTGGTCACGAACATGGGCTCTGCACAAATAAACCAAATGAGCAGCAGTTGCATATTTCCGTGGTTAAATGTATAAACAGAAGAGAGTGCAGAGTGAGAAGCGGAACAGAGAGAGGAGGCATGGGGAAGGGAAAGGGGGTCTGCATGGGGAACAGTTTATACTAGTTTGCAAGATTCAATGACAAAAATGAATTGTCATCACTATTGACAGTTTGACAACCTTTTATGTTCAGTCCATCAATTTGTACCACAAGGATATTAAGAGATTTCAGTAGTACAAATTGGTATTTAAATGTAACATTAATTTGACCTATTAGCAGAGAGGTGCTGCTTTGATACCTTATAGTTCCCTGCATACGAATGGAATATATTGAAAATGTTTTGTTAGTTAGACTGGACTCCAGGACCCAAATTGATGGGTCAGAAAGAATTTACTCTGGCTTACTGCAACAGTTTTCAATTCATCTAATAATCCTTGCATTTGATATCGTTTATGCCTTTCACTTTGGGAGAACGTCTCAAGCGCTTCACAGGATTTACTGTAGTATAGCGATTGTATTTTATAGGCTTATGCTTATTGCAACAGCTTTCAATAACACTATAAAATAGGGACTTTTGCAATTAAAAGAAATCCATTGCCCAATTCCCACAATAATAGTTACGGCATGTATGTCAATTTTGGGTGCTGATTGAAAAATGTGTACAGTAATATGTGTTCCACTGTAAAAGGATGGATCAACACCAGCTTTGTATCTTCTTTTCCACATTAATGATTCTGGTTTCTAAAGAAGCACAGGTTTCTGTGAATGTGCATTGTTTACAAGTGAGACAGTTGTAACACATGAAAGCCCGGGAGTGACTAAATCAGACAAATACCAGTACATTTATGCATTATACACTACAAGGAGACCGATGGATTGAAATTCATGCAATTTTAGCAAATTTTAGATTTAACTAGACTGTTAAGGGTTAAGGAAGTTATAAACCCACCTTTGTGTCTGGATGTTCTGCTTCATCCACTTTACTCTTCCTGAAACAGTTATGTGGTTCTTGTTGTGACTTTGATCCACCAGGAGGCACACTTCTTTTGAGCAAGCCCTTTATGGTAGGTTTGAGTGTGGTACCATTTATCAGTAGAATTCAGGTTTCCCTAATGAGCGGTCAAAACCTAGCTGTGACTCACTCAATCCAATATTTTAAAATCATGAATATGATTATATATCAATGGAGTTTATTTTTGTCAAAGTATAAAAAGTAGTTTGACATGGTCCATGGTACTTCTGCTATTATAATAATAATAATAATCCTTGCATTTGATATAGCGCTTTTCACGTCTTCGAGACGTCTCAAAACACTTCACAGAATATACTGTAAAGTGAATTGACTGTATATTTGTGGGCGAAATGCGGCAGCCAATTGTGCACAGCAGTGTCCCACAAACAGTCATGGATTGAGTGTCTTACAGAACAACCCACAGCTCATTCATATCATGCTTTCGGTTGATGTACATGCCAAATCCTGTTAACAAACAAGACTAAGTTCAGTATTTTGTTTGTGCAATAATGATTGTAGCTTTCTGTATTATGGATGTAAATGGCCAAATCAAATATTTGTTCACGATGCCATAACATACCACATCATAGTCAATTCTCAACAAATAAAGTCACAGACTACTATCCCAATATATCACATCATAGATTGCCATCCCAACATACCATACCATAGGCTACCATTCCACCATACCATAGGCTACCATTCCACCATACCATAGGCTACCATTCCACCATACCATAGGCTACCATTCCATTCAGTCAATTGAGGCTGCTCATTTTACAAACAATATACAATCTATCTTAAGATGGACTTTATTTACCTATTTAATTTCATCAGGAAAACTTCTTTAGATACTCTTTGAACACCCCCAAAGTGATCCTACAAATTCCAGAATATCTTTCCATCCTCACTTCTTCACTATTCAATCCGGTCCAGCTGTTCTCCACAGTTGACCCCCTTCCCACATAGCTGTTTTGTATTTGATAATCTCAATCAATATTCATCTCCAAAATCTGATACATAGTTCATAATCTAAGTCTTGAAAAACTTGATAATTTTTCAGGGAAAACAAGTTCACCTTGCAGAATTACTCCTCAGGTAAAATCTTTTGTGAATGCTCAGGAATTATACCCAAATCCTTTTTCTCTATTCACTTTTGCCAACTGACATCCATTCATTCCTTAATTTTTAATGTTTCAGTGTGCAATGCTGGATAAGATAATTGATTGTATTGGGAGATGCACATTATATCAAGGATAAGAGAAAGTCAATTGTGATATGAAATTCACCTGAATCTTGAAATTACTCACAATTATTTATCATATTTTACTTATAAATGGATTGCTCCACACTATAGCAGTTTTATTTAAGAAATAGTATTAATGCCATTTTAACCAACTTTACTCTGCATTCTGTGATATTGAGGAGTCAATGTAAGACCACAGGTATTACTCCTTATTCTTGTTTTACTATGAATGATAACAGTGATATGTATTGAATCATGCTATTGTATGCAGCAGTGCTGCTTGATGTGCTGATGGCTGCATGTTCTGTTGTTATACGTTGTACTGCTATATAGTTTGTGCCTTGAATTTTTGTCTGTGTTCTTTCACAATAAAGCCAAGTTGACTCCAGGGATTGTTGCATTGGTAACGACTGTGGTGATCTGATAGCAATCTTTGGGTTCAGTGTTTAGTTCTGGGACTGGTTTTAATATCCCAAAGATACTTTGGCTGCAACTTATCAATACATGGACAGTGCTACGAATAGAATTTCAGCCACATGAAATGCAAACTTTCAATAATTAATTCCTTATTTACATTGAATGCTTATTTAGTGACTGTGGAGAACAAGGAATGCAATTGGCATCACATTTGATTTATATTGATGCAGAAATCCCACCCATCCCAGATCATTAAACATGCATGAAGGTGTGCCATTTGCACCAGAATTTACCATAATAAAGCAATGTGTGTTTGTTATTTTGCCTTTAGGCATATTCATTTTGACTTAAACAAAGTGCTTTATATAGTCAAGTGTTAGCCCACTCCTGATATTTAGACACTCCTGTATTTAATATTTATTCCTATTATTGTGTGGATATGATTGTAAGAAGCCTATTTTGGCTATTTCTTAAAATAGTTCCACTTTTTTTNACCTGATAACCATTAATTAGCAATAAAAATCAGTATTTATATAGTGCTTTTCATATGAAATGATCTTCACCTCAAAGTGCCCGCCAAATGTATTGGTCCACAACCAAGCAGAGAACTGGAATTTACCAAAGCAACAGGGTTAATCAGCCTGGATACAGTGATTTCCAGCGTTGAATTCAGTTTTTGAAAACCCAACTGTTGTATCTGTTTGATATTGGATAAGTGTGTTAATCTTCTACCACATCACAATGTGTTATCACATTTCTTGTGTGTGTGTGTGTATCCATATGTACATTAC